TTTTCTGGTAGACAGAGTCTCACTCGCTCTGCTGCTGAGGCTGGAGGCTGACGCCTGGAGTGCAGTGATGTAATCTCAGTTTACTGTCATTTACTGCAACCTCCTGCTTTCTGAGCTCGAGTTATTCTCCTGCCTCAGCTTCCTGGGTAGCTGAGATTACAAGTGCCCTCCATTACACCCAGATACTTTTTGTATTTTTAGCAGAGACAGGGTTTTCCCATGTTGGGAAGGCTGGTCTCAAACTCCTAACCTGAGGTGATCCACAGCCTCAGCCTCCAAAAGTTCTGGAGTTACAGGCATGAGCCATCATGCCTGGCCCACATCCCCGATTAAAACATAGGTAATCTTAACCATGCAGGAATATACAATGTATACTTTAAATAAAGCGACAAAGAATTCAGGTCATTGTAATTGTTAGTGTAAGGCATTTAAATGAAAACAAATAGTTCTAATTTTAATTGCCAGTTACATAAAGAACACAGTAAATTTTCCCATAAAACATGATTAATTTTATTTTTTGAACAAAAATAACATGAAACACAAAAGTTTTCATTAAGATTTACTCTAAATGAAAAGTTAATACACTCATTTTCCCTACTTCTAAACAGTGTCAGTGTCACCATTTATATATAAACTTCAACAAGAATTTATAATATCAAATTATTAATGGAAAGAAAAGCCGTAAGACAAAATATAATGTGTAATAAACCATTCAGAGTAACATTAAATACACTACCAATAGAACATGATATCTTAGCTGGCCTTTGAAATAAGAGGAGGAAATATTTTATTATGCCCCACTAAGATCTTAATTTAGCAGAGAACAATACAAGAGTAGTGTATCGTATTTTAGAATGATCAATAACAGTTTCAGATTTTAAAGTTATTAAGTTTAAAAGTGGTAATCTCAAGGCTATAAAACATTTTATAACTTCAAAAAATCTAAGATTCAAAAATAAAAACCTATAGTTTAATCGTCTGGTGAAGATAATAGAATATTTTTTCTAGAGGTAAGAATAAAGCAGCAAATCCTTCATATGAAAATGCATTACAAATTCATCCATGATGGTGATTACCCCTAGAATAATAAAAGAGTGATATTTATGCAAATTTCCTTTTCCACTAATAGTTTATTGTTTTCTATGTGAGCATTTCCTAAATCTTACATGTGCTTTTAAGAAAACTGAAATATAAATAATAAACACTTCAAGTTTCAAGACTTTTTAGTTTGGTAGTATATTAAAAATCTAATTCAAATTTTAGAAATGGCAT